CCCCCCCAAGTCGAGCTGCTGCCCTCTGGAGCCGGAGCCAGGGTGCAGCGGGGCCGGCCGGGCCTGGGCTCAGCTGCCACATGTTGCCTCCAGCCTTATGGTGGGTTGCAGCTGAAGAAGGGCTTGGCTTCGCATTGAAGTTCGAGCTGAGTAGAAACTAGCTCTAAAGCTATTGCACCTTGTTGGACACTGACTCTGTCATGGGGTAGACATTTTTATGATGTGGCGATCGCTTTGCACATGTGGCTCGTCTGCTTTTCTTGCGTAGTTGGCCAGTTTGTTGCCTAATGTGTCAAGGGTGGCAGGAGCCAGAGGATGGCTTTCTGTGCTATGGTAAAACATCTTTGTTGTAAACCAGGGGTTCCCAAATTGTGGTATGCCTACCTCTGGGGTATACAAGACATCTTGGGGGGGCAGGGTACAGGGGAGATATTATGTAATGGTAGATTTAATTTTCATTATAATAGTAGCTGGCATTTAAAGGGTTCAAATGTGTGCTAGTAGGGGTATGCAGGCAGCTGGTAAATCTGGAAGGGGTGCACAACAAGAAAAAGCTTGGGAACCTCTGCTCTAAACTAACCCTGTTGGTTTTCTTGTTCTGTATCTCTCTAGCCCAGGGGATTCTCTCCTAGGGCACTTTGGAGTCATGGTGAACAAGAGGGTTAAAAGGTCTTTTTCAGTGAATGTTTTTGGAAATTATTTCTGCATAAATGCAGGGGACTTGACTCCGGGGGGTGGCAAGTGAGAATTAGACTAATGGGAAAGAGGAATAGGGGGCAACAGACTTCTGGACACATCTCAGAATGGTTGAGCCCCATCTACACTAGCACGTAAGCTGTCAGTTCTGCTGCTGCTGCGTTGTTGTGGGGAAATAGCTAGAAAATGTAGTGGCAGAGAGAAATTATCATTAACTTAGAGTTGGATGAACCTTATTTTCCTTTCTGATAGCTTCAGGACAAGGACTTGTATCTTGGAGGAAGCAAAAGATCCAATGGGAATACAAGAAATTATTGAAGAGAGAAAGAAAAGCCAACCCGCCACAGGATGTTCTGTACACAGATACTTATCCAGAACACTTGAAGCATCTCTATTTAGCTGAAGAGGAAATGCTTAAGCAACAATGCAAGGCTAAAAGCAGTCCAGTTTTTTTGGAAGAAAAGTGCAACACGGCAGTGAAGTAAGTAACTGTCTAAAGCTGTTTTATTTTGTTCTTTTATCTACTTTTGTATTTATTAAAGGGATATTAAGTTTTCAGATACTCCAATTAGATTCAGTGGCTGGCTTGTTTAATTAGGACCATGGGTAAAATAACCTACTGGTTAAGACTCATCATGCAAAGAGGTGCCTGCATGCAGAGTCCAGCTGACTCCTTTGGGACGTAGCCCATTGCAGGACTGGACCCTTAATATGTTCAAGGTATGTCAATTAAGAAAAGAATAACAATACAATATAAAATATTTCTGTTGCTGTTCAATTGCTGCTGATAGTAACAAGTAAAGGTGCTTTATTCTAGGATTGTTCTTGGCACCCTAAACTGTATGATTCCCCACAGAACTTAAGCAGCCAAAAGTGCACCAAGAATCAGTCTCCATAACACTGTTATGTAGTGGTGCTCAACCTAAGGCTCCTGGACCTGATCGTACCCCTAGCCTGTAGCTTGGAGGATCAGCAGCAAGCACCTCAGCCTTGCATGTCTCCTGCCCTGCCCTGCTGCTGACCTTTGCAGCCCTCTCTCCCTTTCTTTCTCTGTCTCCCCCTACAGCATGTACTCTCTCCTTCCCTTTCTCCCTCTTTCCTCCCCTATGGTAGGGACTTTTTTTACTTGTTTCCTCTCCCCCGTTTAAGATTGTCAGCCACCTTACTCCTCACCTTCCACCCTCCTGTACCAAAGGGAAGTGTGAGACTATGGTGCACCTGACTTGCCTCTCTAAAAGGGTTGAGCACCTGCTGTAGAGCTGGCCTTGGCAGTCTACAGTTTGCAGGCTAGATCTGTCCTAGAAAGACATTTCTGTTCAGCTCACCAGAGCACACTTAGGTGAGAACGCTTTGTCTAGTGTCTATCCCTCTGAACTTGCTTCCAGCCTGAGGAGAATTAAGCTGTTGTAGAGGATAAATTGGCCTTTTTTTTTTATTGCTTTTTCTGCTACACTACTTCATGACTTTGCAAATGGGGAGTATGTCACAGGCCAGCTGGGCACTGTGAGTATATCAATTTAGTTGCAGACTGACTGAGCACTGCAACTTTATTAGCCACTGGGCTTTTTCATTCGGGATCAAGAAGGTGATTTTGGAAAGGAAAGAAACGACAAGTTTCACGTACAAAAAAGAATGAATTTTACTTATGACAACAAAAGATATAGTTTGCGTATATAATAGTTAATAAAAAGGTTAAGCTAATAAGCAGACAACATAACAATACAGATTAAAACTGACAATGATAATAAAACAGAAAAAGAAATTAACCAAGAGTTCCCACTTTGTTAGTAACTTATCGGTAGTCCCTCAGTTAGAAGATGCACGGCAAGTTGAATCAGCGAAATCAGACGTCTCTGAACTGGGCTGCTCGAAAGATACCAGTAGAAGCCCCTCGGTCAGGATCTGGTTCTCACTCTCACAGGGAGTAAGAGATATCCCTGGGGTATGGGACAGCAATGACCCTTCTGTTCCGTCCTTCCCGAGGGTTACTATGACGTGTGTGTTCTTTTATATTCTAATTATGGTAATTTTTAGTTATATAGCATTTATAATATTGCTTTATAGCTGTTATCCTATGGAGTTAAAAGGTGTTAGAAATTATTATAATAAGGTACTGCCCAAGCTTGGGTTTATCCAATAAGCAAATTGCAACACAACATCTTCAGGTTTAAAATTAACGTTACCCCGCCTAAATCCAGCCCCTTCAAAACTCTCTGACTATGCTTTTTTGAGATGTCCTTTCTTGAAATGTACTAGATAAGCTGGGCAGTTGAATCCAGTTTTTATCATCATCAAGGCTAAATTCTGAGCGAGAAAGAACTATTAGGTCAGCTACTTTCACAGCTAGAGCTTTGTCTTTGCGGCCTAGTCAATTCCACAAACAGTTACAAGTTACATTTGCGGGTTACAAAAATACAAGCTTCATATTAGACAAAAGTTCCAAATGCCTCCAAGAAGCACATATTTATTGCTTATTAATTTCTTTGATTCTGGCCATCACAGGACTAGGTGTGCACATGTTTGGAACCCTCTGTCTAAATGCACTTGCTGTCATGACTCGACCTGTTGTCTTTGTGTCTCTCACTTAAAAAAACCAAAAACCTAGGACTGCGTACAAAGCTTTTTTTTTTGCTTCCTGCTTCTCTACATCTTTAATTTTACATCTTTGTATTTATCTTTTAGTTGGTTCTGTAACAAAGATTTACAATGCAACTAATGGAAACTAACTGATTTACAAGTGTGGTTCAGATCACAGCAGAATCCTAATTGTGTATTCTTTTTTCTCTTGTGGTTGAAAGAAAATTATTTCAGATACCATCCCTCCTGTTTAGGGGTACACTGATAGAGATTTTGGGGACCAATACTGATAGCCAATTTTTAAGGAGGCATATCAGCCGATACTAACCTGATTTCCAACGTGCAGCCTTGCAGCTTAAATATCTGTGTGCAGCTGCTAAGTTTGTGGTGGTGGAAGTGAAGAGGGGGAGGGATGGGGTGTGGGGGAGAGTGTTGAAGGCCCCCGCAGTGAGGGAGGGAGTGGGGTTGGGGCAGGTGTTGCCCAGCTGGGGTGACACAAGGCACAGGATGGAGCATGGCTTGTCTGGGGGGCAGCTTCAGACCCTGGAAAGGCATGGGGGGAGGGAGTG